ATTTTATTTATTTGAAAGTCAGATTTAGAGAGACAGAGAGAGAGTGTGTGTATATTCCACCCACTGGTTCACTTCACAACTGGCCAGAACAGCCAGAGTGGAGCAGGCCAAAGCCAGGAGCTTTATCCAGGTCTCTCACATGGGTGGCAGGGGCCCACGCACTTATGCATCTTCCAGTGCCTTTTCCCAAGCATTAGCAGGGAGCTGGATGGGAAGAGGAGCAGCTGGGGCATCAATCAGTGCCCGTATGCGATGCCTGCACAGCAGGCAGCGACTTTACCAGCTATGCGACAACACCAGCCCCCTGACTCCACTTCTGATTCCAGCTTCCTGATAATGAGCACCCTGAGAGGCAGCCAGGGCTAGCTCAAGTGGTTGGATCCCTGCCACTCACACGGGAGACTTGGACTGAGTGACTGCCCCCGGCATTTGACTGGCCCAGCCAAAGCTGCTGCAGGCATCTGAGGAATAAACCAGCAGATAGGAGGGCTCTCGGTCTCTCTGCCTCTCAAATAAATAAACACAAATAAAAATTAAGAAAAAATAACAACCACCACCACCAACTCTCCAGATGCACTCACCATTTTCTGAACTGGCACTGCCTCCACTTGTTGCCGCAGCTTCAAAAGACGTTCCCCGGACAGAGAACACCTTCACTTTCTCATCACACTTCACCGTACACAAAGCATTTCCTGAAACACACAATTGCTAAACAGCTTCAGCAAAGGGCAACAAAATAAGCGTTCCTTTGAGGCTCAGAATTTACTTCACAAAGACAAGGCAAGGAATATCTACTCTGTTATTTATTGGGAAAGCAGAAACAGAAGAAGAAGTAAGCGACCAGTGCATATCTGTATAAGCCTGCGAGTCTTTAAAAACAGGATAGGCACTGACCCGCCCAGAGACAAGACTGGAACAGGCAGCACACCGAGAAGGAGGGGCATTCTCCCCAACAGGAACAGGAACAGAGCTTCCTCTCCAACAACAACTCCATCAGGAACCCAAACCCATGAGCTACGACGACTTAATTAAGAGTAGCTACCATACAGGTTAGAAAGAGAGTATATGCGAAAACATAACAGGACATAAAGAACGAGTCCGGATGCATCACAAGTTTAAAGGATTTGAGGCGTTTGTCGTGAAGCAGCAGTCCCATTAAGAGCGGCCTCAGCAGTGACCCAACGTCTCCCCTGAAACAGAATGGAAGATGAAAGGCCTGATTTGGGAACATCAAGCTTTAATCAGGAAGCACAAAGAGTCCACTGCCTTTTCCAACCCCACTAGAGACCAGTGTGCTTAGCAAAACATCAGTCAACTCAACAGACATGGAAATGAATTTATTAACGCATATGAAGATCAAGTAAGAGAACCGAAGACTAAAATTGTTATAAAAAAAAGTGTGCCTTTCCAGGTGCCCCTTATAAAATATACTGAATCGTGAATCTAATTTTTATTGACCGCTGGAAAAGCTTCACTCTGCAAACTGAGTGAGCAGCAGGAAGCACTGTGTCCGGCTTCCCCAGAGGACAGCCACGTCACAGTCCAGCCCAGCCCGGGCTAAGACTGCACTCCAGAACCTTCAAGAAGGTCTACTCAGAGCAACTGCATGGTTCTCTTGAAAAGCCTGTCTTCAAAATTAATTTCTGCTCTGTACTGAAAGGTAACGAGTTGGGAACTATCTTCCCTGGGTACTCACCTGCGTAAATGGTCCTCACAAACGTGTCGGGGGACTTGATGGCAATGATGTCAGAAATTGGGGCAACATCAAGTTTGGCCGCTACTCTGGGTAAAAGGTTCTAAAAGCAAAACAAGCAGTGAGTTACACACATCCATACTAATGGACAGCTATAAACCACCAGTTGTGACATCCTCTAAACGCATAGTCCGCAGAAAATTTAATTCAAGTATTTCATATTTCACGTGTATCTTTGGACACACTACACCTTCAAGCACAGCTTTTTGGATAGCCTTTGAGACTGAGTGGGTGCCTACCATTACTCTAATTATGTTAAGAGTTTTCAGTTTTATAGTAATAAGCCACCTTAATTCAATACATTGAACTATGAAATATGACATCTGCTTTAACAAGCATTAATTACCAAGTGTGACAGTTATGGATTGCTGAATTTAGATAAGAAAAAATTTAAACAAGTAATAAAATTCTCAGGTACTATAAAGGACTAGACTTGTATGTATTTATTTAATGTATAGGAAAGAAACAATTTTAAGCAGACATTTCACCTTTTGCTGAAATTGATGTTGCATAAGAAAGATCAAGATCAAGGGCAAGCATTTGGTGCAGTGGTCAAGAGGCTGCTCGGGACTCCCACATTCCTTATCAGATTCAAGTCCCAGCTCAGCTCCTGATTCCAGCTTTCTGTTAACATGCACCCTGGGAAGCAGTGATAGCTCTGATACTCGGGTCTCCGCCACCCCTTGGGAGAACTTGCATGAGTTCCTGGCTTCTGGCTTCAGCCTGGATCAGCTTTAGCCTGGTCCATGACCAGCTGTCGCAGGCATTTGGGGAATAAACCAGTGGATGAGATCAATATCTGTATCTGTCTCTGTCTCTCTGCCTTTCAAATAAAATAATTTTTTAAAAAGATAAAAACTAACCTGGAAAACAGCCTGTGTGGTAGATATAAAAATGGCACCAAAAAATGCTTATGTGTTTACTTATATATGCAAACAACATCTCTAGAATAGATCCGCATGTTAACGCCTTTCTCACTTGAAGGGATCCACCCAGCCTCAGCTATACTGTCTTACAAAGGGGAAGACAAGGCATAAGGATGTAGTTCTGTGGCTCTTGGCTCTGGAACAGCAAAGTCAGGGAGTGAACACATCTGTGCCCTCCGGTCTGCACGGAACTGTAACCAAAAGGGTGAAGTGTTACTCTGTATTGCACAAATGGATAAGCTGAATGCTACAGTACCTCCTATGCAGAGCCTGACTCCCTAGCACCTCCTGAAGGTGGTTAGTGACACTGGCCCAAGGAGCACACTCTCCAGTTCCTCTCTCCTCTCCACCCTCACACCCTCTCTGTTCTGAGAATTCCACCAGTGTCGTCTGATAATCACTCCTTGATTCTGCATCCTCCCAGAAGCAGGTACAATTACATTATAATAATTAGCATTTTGTTTTAAAAGAATTTGTTAATACACATAAATTAAGTGTTAATACACAAAAGGTCTATTTTTCTGGGTCTGGTCTCTCATCTGAATGTCCTGAGACAGAAATCCATCTCTTTAAAAAGATACACAGGGTTGGAGCTGGCATTGTAACACAGAGAGTTAAGCCACTGTATGCAATGCCAGCATCCCATATGGGTGCTGCTACTCATCCTATATGAGTCTTAGCTGCACCACTTCCAATCCAGGTCTCTGCTAATGCACCTGGGAAAGCAAAAGAAAATGACCCAAGTCCATAGGGTCCTGCACCCACACAGAAAACTCGGATGGTGTTTCAGGCTCCTGGCTTTGGCCTGGCCCAGCCCCAGTCTTTAAGCCCATTTAGGGAGTCAATCAGCAGACGGAAGATCTCTTTACCTCTCCTACTCTCAGTAACTCTGCCATTAAAATAAGTAAATAAATAAATCTTAAAATAAATAAAATTCATGGGGCTGACGCTGTGACATAGGTTAAGCCTCCACCTACAGCGCCGGCACCCCAAGCAGACAGACTCTGGCCTTTCTAAATATCATCAACACAGCATTGCTGCAAGCCACCACTTGAGACCCCAGCATCCTATATTTGAGTGCAATTTGAGTCCCAGCTACTACGCTTCCGATCCAGCTTCTTGCTAATGAACCTGGGAAGGCAGCCAACCTTGGGCCCCTGTCACACATTTGAGACCCTGGCTCCTGGCACTGGCCTGACCCAACCTTAACTGTTGCAGCCATTTGGAGATTGAACCAGTGATGGAAAATTTCTGTCTTCCCTCTCTCTCTGATACTTTGCCTTTCAAATAAATAAATGAATCTTCCTGGGGCTGGCACTGTGGCATAGCAGGTAATGGTGCCGCCTGTGACCCTGGAATTACATATCGGTGTCAGTTTGCGTCCTGGCTGCTCTACTTTCTATCCAGCTCCGTGTTAATGGCCTGAGAAAAGCAGCAGAAGATGGCCGAAGTGTTAGGCTGCTGCCACCCAAGTGGGAGACCCAGATGAAGCTCCTAGCTTCCGCCTGGCCCCGTCTTGTCCGTTGCGGCCATCTGGGGAGCAAACCAGTAGGTGAAAGATTTCTCTGTCTTTCCCTCTCTCTCTGAAACTGACTTTCAAAATAATCAAATGAATAATTTTTAAAAAACAAACCAATAAATAATTATCATTAGCCACCCAAATAACCATTTCTTAAAGGTTACAAACATATTCATTCTCTCTCTCTCTCTTTCACACAGACACAGAATCTAACACTATTTATTAAACAAAAATAATTTTGAAATAGTGGCCTACAGAACATTTTCTCCAAGGCAATATTTGAAAGCCTAGAACGGGCATGACAAAATCTTGAAAGAACAAAGAGTTCTATCTCTTTGACAAAATTTGAAAATCTGGAAATGGCATTTTTAACAGAAATTATGATAAAAATCTTCAAAGACTATCACATTAATTCAAATAAATCTGGACGGGCTATCAAAACAAAGTCTGTGGTGCGTCTCTGGCGCAGTGAAACCTAACCCTTCCGGGGAGTGACATCAGACTCCGCGTTCCCAGCCTTCTCACCTTTCCGAAGGCAGATGCTCCGGCACAGATGTGTGTGTAATTGAACTGCTTCTGCGTTGCCAGAATCAGTGGCGTCAGCTCCTCTGAGGACGAAACACAGGATGAAGCCTGCTTCAGACCATGTCCACATACACGCACTCAGGCACGATCCAGACACCACATCCTGCCCGCCGCTAACCTCACCTGGGAGGAGGCCTTTGTACGCATCATGCTGCGCCACCAGCACTTTCGTGACACCTTCCACTTTACAGAGATCTTGAGCCACCTGTGATTAAAAGATAAGTTCCTAACTGTACGCATAAGAAATATGCAAAAAGAGGGACCATTACAAATACCAACAGAGCACAAAATCTTAGTGTCCAACTATGAAAATCATTTTTATTAGCCAAAGAACAACCTACCAAGGAATTTTTAATTCTGCAACAAAGAAAATCTTACATCAACTGATTTTAGTACCTATGGACTTTACATAGCGCTACTAAAAAAGATTTTAACAAAAATTTCTGCTTTGAAAAAAAAAAAAAAAACAATGCTAACCGATCAACAAAAGTGGGTACGGCTGATTACTCAAGTTCAGTTGTGGACTGTGTTCTTTCCCTTTGATTCAATGCAAGGTAAGTTTATCACTTCAGAAATGGTGAAAATGAGCTCTCTGTCTCCCAACAACACGCCTAGGACATTTCAGACTTAGGGTTTCCTGGAGGGAAAGAGCAGACTTAACCATCCTGTACTCTACCGCGCTTTATTTGACAACAACAATTTCCGCTGATATTAAAATTTTTAACTCTGAGCAAGACAGAAAACCTAACGCTCGTAAACGACCCCTGTCAAGTACAGAGTCCTGCCCACAAACATACGAGGAACTTCACAAGCCCACAGAGGGCCAGGCTTGGGCACAGCAGTTAAGATGCCTCCATGCTGGAGTGCCTGGCTCAAGTCCTGGCTCTGCTTCTGATTCCAGCTTCCTGCTGAAGTGCTTCCTGGGAGGCAGCAGGTATGGTGTGAGCACTTGCCCTGCCACCCAGGTGGGAAACATGGGTTGAAATCTGAGATACCATCTTCCTTCCACCTGGCCCAGCCCTGGCCAGGCGAGTGAACTATGCCCTCTCTGTCCGGTCTCGCTCTCTGTCTCTGCCTTTCAAATAAAATGAGGAAATAAATAAATAAATAAATAAATAAAGCTCATGGGAAATGAAATTAAAAGATGTTTATTTTGGTGCAAAAAATTTTGAAGTCCATGCGTATGAGGAATCTTCAAAGAGTTTTTAAAAAACTATGCAAGTGTTTCAAAAAAGATAAGAATGAACTTATCTTTCGACTCTACTGTTCCATGAATTTTTTGATATACCCTCATATATGTATCTATGACAAAGCAAAATATTTCCCATTTTAATTCCTCGCTTTCCTTGTTTGGAATCAGGATGAGGAACTGAGAGAGCTTTCTGACGCCTCAGCCTCTGTACACAGAATGTCACTAATACAGCGCGACCAGTTTCTCTTTCAGCAATCCCATCAGTCATATTATTGCCTTCTGTATCCTTGTTCACCTCCAGGCTGATTCACCGAGGAGTGGGCATGAAAGGCCGTGCCTCCTGCCCCTCTCCATGAACTGCAAAGTGGCAGCCATTCTCACTGAAGATGGACACAGTGTGGGTCGGGGCTCAGAGGCCCTTTATTATGGCTACATCTGTACTTAGCTTCTCTAACTCGAGCAGAATTTCCAACTAAGAAACACAGTTCACTCCCAAGTAGCTGTATAGCAGCGCAGGATACAAAAACGTACAGAATTTTTCCAATCTCAACATTTTTTAACTGGCAAAAACTTCCAGCATTATACAGAAGAATCACTTGCTGTTTATGATAAATGGCTAAAGAAACAGTGGGAAACTGAAATTGCTTGTATCACAAACATCTTTATACAGGTTCTGGTCGCTTTAAGATTAGAATATGACATAACAAGATTATAACTAAGCAGATTTCAAATATTTCAAAGTGATAGGATAATTATCTAACATCATAGCAAAACAAATCCAAAATCTGTATATATCTGAAAATGAAGCAACCGTGAAAAGATAGCTTAGTCATACCATCACACATCATGCCTAACATCAACTACATAACATTCAACAGTTGTTAACAGAAACGATGCAAACAAATCCACATAACTAACCCTAAACCTGCTGCAAGGACACCTTCTTTTAAAATGCAAATTTCACAGAAGGAATTACAGAAGCAACTCTGACCCTGGGAACCTATGTACCACAGGCTCTGCACCTTAGTTTAATGAACATTCTCTCCACATACAATCCCTCCATGAAGTCCAAGGCCACAGCCACACAGTGGGCAACTCCCTTCTGCAGTGAGAGGGAACGGTGGCTCAAGCTCAGTAAGCTAACTGAAGTGTTCATCTATACCACAGCCGGGGATGCAGACCCTGCGCCTTCCAGGGGTTACAGCACCTCTGGGGGGATGCAGACCCTGCGCCTTCCAGGGGTCACAGCACCTCCGGGGGGATGCAGACCCTGCACCTTCCAGGGGTCACAGCACCCTGGGGGGATGCAGACCCTGCGCCTTCCAGGGGTCACAGCACCTCCAGGGGGATGCAGACCCTGCACCTTCCAGGGGTCACAGCACCTCCAGGGGGATGCAGACCCTGCACCTTCCAGGGGTCACAGCACCTCTGGGGGGATGCAGACCCTGCACCTTCCAGGGGTCACAGCACCTCCGGGGGGATGCAGACCCTGCGCCTTCCAGGGGTCACAGCACCTCCAGGGGGATGCAGACCCTGCACCTTCCAGGGGTCACAGCACCTCTGGGGGGATGCAGACCCTGTGCCTTCCAGGGGTTACAGCACCTCTGGGGGGATGCAGACCCTGCACCTTCCAGGGGTCACAGCACCTCTGGGGGGATGCAGACCCTGCGCCTTCCAGGGGTTACGGCAGCTCTGGGGGGATGCAGACCCTGCGCTTTCCAGGGGTCACAGCACCTCCAGGGGGATGCAGACCCTGCACCTTCCAGGGGTCACAGCACCTCTGGGGGGATGCAGACCCTGTGCCTTCCAGGGGTTACAGCACCTCTGGGGGGATGCAGACCCTGCACCTTCCAGGGGTTACGGCAGCTCTGGGGGGATGCAGACCCTGCGCCTTCCAGGGGTTACGGCAGCTCTGGGGGGATGCAGACCCTGCGCCTTCCAGGGGGTTACAGCACCTCCAGGGGTTGGTTTCCAAAGCTGTGGTTGTCATATTTAACAACAACCAAGAGCATCTTTTAGTACCAGCTATAATTTGGTAAAGACAGACCTTGCTTTTGAGTTGTTCCACTAAGTAAAAATTAATACCCACGACACTTTGTTCAGATTTACCTCTTTTAGGAATTAGAAGCAGTTATATTCATCCATACAGAAAGGGAGTCGGCTATTAACCTCTGAGAGGACTCCCACAGTATCACTCTAGGGTACCTGATGGCACACGATGATGCCAATGGAACTCAATCAAGCTTCCCACCTCATTTCAAAAGAAAATGCTTAGTAGCACACCCTTTAGCTCCTTTCTCACACGCAGCTAACGGTTCTAATGCTGGCCATTTAAGGAGGATTATAGCCCTGCCTAGGTTACAGTCCTTTTGGCATAATTCTCTGTTGCCATCTTTCCCTGTCTCTTGATGGAGATTACATTTGCTTCTGCTGACCTTAAAAATTTCTCACCTTGTCACATTTGGTTCCAGCCACTAAGCAGGACACGTCTCCTCCCAGACGCTTGGCTGCAGTGATGGTGTTTAAAGTAATGGGTGCTAGGGAGTCATTCGCGTGTTCGGCTATTACCAGAGTACTCTGAAATCGCAGCAGTGAGGCCTAAACGGAGGGAAAAAATGAAAGAAAAAAAAGAATTTTGATACTTGTTAGGAGTGTGTGCTTGCAAGGAAACTATTCTGTACACAATACTCAGTTCTGTAACAGACTTCGGGGTGCATGTTGGGCACAGTGGTCAAGCTGCTGCTTTGGATGCCCACATTCCGTATCAGAGTCACTAAATCCTAACCCCAGCTCCACATCCAATTCCGGCTTCCTGCAATGCAGACCCAGGGAGGCAGTGGTAATGGCTCAGCTCAAATACCTGTAGTTTACTAGATATCTGGGTTGAGTTCGGGCTCCTGGCAGCAGCTTGGCCCAGCCATGGCTGTTGCAGGAATCTGGGGAGTGAACCAGTGAATGGGAGAACTCTATCTAATAAATTAATAAAAGCTGTTCTTAAGAATACTCAGTTCTACAAATGCAGTCATAAAAATATTTGCTCAACAGCAGAAACCAGTCTTTTTGTTTATCACTGTTCTAATTTTCTTACATAGTAAAAACTAAAACATTAGCTTTTATTAGAAAGAAAATTTAATTATTCCAAAACAACCTTCCTACTGATCTGTGTCTGATGAAAAACTGTCATGTACATAAATTTAAAATCCCTAGACAGATCATATTAGCTATCAAACTGGGAACTAAATAAACAGTACTACCAATCACAATTACATACTGTACTACTGTTTTAGTATAGCATATCCAGAAATAATGGGTTTGAAATCAGTTACTAAAGTTGATTCCTATTGCATTAGGAAACTGATAATGAAATGTTCTTAAAATATGACTCTAGGGGGCTGGCATGGTGGTGCAGCAGGTCAAGCAGCCTGCTGAGTTCTGGCTGCTCCACTTCTGATCCAGCTCCCTACTAATGTGCCTGGGGAGACAGCGGAAGATGGCTCAAGTATTTGGGCCCCTGCCACCCGTGTGGGAGATCTGCATGGAGGTTCTGGCTCCCAGCGCTGGCCTTGCCCAGGCTGGTTTTTGCAGCCATCTAGGGGTGAACCAGTGGATGGAAGATCTCTTTCTGTCTATCCCTTTCACTCTGCCTCTCAAATAAATATTTTATTCAAAAATATGATACTCAATGGAAATTTTGCTGGGTTTTCAAGTGTTGAAATATGGTTCTCAATTCAAAAAAAAAAAAAAGGAAGTTTATAAATCTTGGAAACCATCAATATCTAGCACAATCTACCGTGGACTCTGACAAGACCTGGTTGTTGGCAGCCATTTGGGGAGGGAACCAGTGGTGGATGGAAGATCTCCCTCTCTATCCCTCTGATTTTCAAATAAATCTTTAAGAGAGAGAAAAGGAGAGGGAGAGGAGACAGACAAGCAGGGAGGGAGAGGGAGAGGGGCACACCGGAGTGGCTGTCTGGTGCAGACTGCCTGATTCACATTCTGGCTTTTCTGCTTCCAATCCAGCTCCCTGCTGATGCACACCCTAGGAAAACAACTAAAAGAACTTTAAAAAAAAAGATGTAGGCAGGGCTGGTGCTGTGGAGTAGGCTAAGCCTCTACCTGTGGCGCCAGCATCCCATATGGGCACCGGTTCACATCCCAGCTGCTCCTCTTCTGATCCAGTTCTCTGCTGTGGCCTAAGAAAGCAGTAGAAGATGGCCCAAGTCCTTGGGCCCCTGCACACACGTGGGAGACCTGGAAGAAGCTCCTGACTCCTGACTTTGGATCAGCCCAGCTCCAACCATTGTGGTCAATTGGGGAGTGAACTAGCGGATGGAAGACCTTTCTATCTCTCCCTCTCTCTGTCTGAAACTCTCTTTCTCCAATAAACAAATAAAATCTTAAAAAAAAAACAAAAGATGTAGGCACACTTTTAAGACTTTAATAATGACTGATACAAACTATCCTTCAGAAAGCTACCAATTGGGGGCTGGCATTATAGCCTAATGGGTAAAACCACTGCCTGCAATGCCTGGATCCCATATGGGCACTGGTTCAAGTCCTGGCTGCTCCACTTCTGATCCAGCTCCCTGCTAATGGCCAGGGAAAGCAGCAGAAGATGGCCCAAGTCCTTGGGCCTTGCACCCACATGGGAGACTTGGAAGAATCTCCTGGCTCCTGACTTTGGCCTGGCCCAGCCCTGGCTGTTGTGGCCATCCTAGGAGTAAACCAGCAGATAAAGATCTTTCTCTGTCTCTCTAACATTTTCAAATAAATTAATCTTAAAAATAAAAAACAAAGATTGGGGCCAGCACTGTGGCACAGTGGGTTAACGCCCTGGCCTGAAGTGCCTGCATCCCATATGGGTGCCGGTTCAAGTCCTGGCTGTTCTACTTCTGATCCAGCTCCCGGCTATGGCCTGGGAAAGCAGAAGAAGATGGCCCAAGTCTTTGGGCTCCTACATCTGCGTGGGAAACCCAGAAGAAGCTCCTGGCTCCTGGCTTCGGATCAGCACAGTTCTGGACGCTGCTGCCAACTGGGGAGTGAACCATCGGATGGAAGACCTCTCTCTCTCTCTGCCTCTCCTGTCTCTGTGTAACTCTGACTTTCAAATAAATAAATAAATCTTTAAAAAAAAAAAAAAAAAAAAAGAAGGGCTTTAAAAAATAAAATAAAAAAATAAAAAGGAAGAAAACTAGCAATTCACAATTCATAATTTCTAGAATGCAATGAAATTTCTTGGACCATGCCTGCTCATTTTTGCATCCCCAGAAAGTAATACAATGTTTCTTTTCCAATATACATCTGTAGAATTAATTATATGGTACTTTTTCTTTTTAATCAGAGTACAATATCTTGTAAAGGACTTTGTAATTAATACCAATGGCATAATTTATGATTCAAATCACATTTCACAAGATTTGCCAGTAACAAACTATTCATTCCCAATATATATCAGACACCACATTTTTGATTATGTATCACACATCATTTATATAAAAATTATGAGATTTCCATCACCATCTGAAGAATAAATCCAAGAATTGGTGGCAGAAGGCCCATATTTGCTGTAAATTATAGATCTATCATAAGATAAATTGAATGCTTCTCCTAAGAGACTGTCAAGCTTTTTAGAACTTAGAACTTCTAGTGAGAGACTGTGCACTCTTTTTCAAAGATTGTTCAAAATTAGATGTATAAGAGCAAACCACAACAAAAGAATATACTTAAGAACCCACTCAATCCATCTGGGTGACTGTTTCCCTAAGCATTCCATGTATCATAAACACCGTCTATATTATGTTATTAATTCCTTTGTAATTTAAATCACTGAGCTCTAACTCAATGTCCTGCCTTCCACTTTACCACTGAGAAAGAAGTCACATCATCCAAGCAAGGCTATGCAGCAAGAGGGCGGGCGTGAAGCCTAGAGCTGAACAAACAGGTCCACAACTTTAAATGTGATTCCTCAACCTGGAGTCCAGTTTCCTGACAGGCAAATCACCCAGTGTGGATTAGTCCACTAATCTATACTATACTCCAAACTATACTCCACAAAAGAGTTTCAGCAGAGTACCTGGAAGAGCCAGTATTATGCCATAGCAGGTTGCCCCCCACCACGCCTGCATCCTATGTGGGTGCCAGTTCAAGTCCTGGCTGCTCCACTTCTGATCCAGCTCCCTGCTAATGGCCTGAGAACAGTGGGGGTGGCCCAAGCACCCACAGGGGAGACATGGAGGAAGCTCCAGGCTTCAGGCTGTCCCAGCCCCAACTGTTGCAGCCATTTGAGGAGTGAATCAGCAGATGGAAGACAGATCTCTCTCTCACTCGCTTCCTCTGTAAGTCTGCCTTTCAAATAAATAAAGGGCACTTTGAGGTCAGGTGGGAAGCAGGGCTGCTAGCATTCCCCCAACACAGAGGGCTGGACTGAGCAGTTTCATATACTGTGTATTATATAAGGCTCAGGGATGTAAGTAGTGTCAGGCTACAGAGCCAGGAAGCAGGGTCAGGTTACCCCGAGTACGGGCAGTCTGACTCTAGAGCAGTGGTGCTTAACAACCTGCTCACATGAAACTACTGTCACCTTACGTATGCTGCCTTACGTATAATATAGGTAATTCCTGTAAGATTACGTGTACCAGTCTCTTAAAAAAAAAAAAAAAGGAAAAATGTGATCTCATGACCCTCTTCCAGCTCTAAAATTCCCCTAACTCTAAAATCCCTTTCTAAATGGCACTGAATGGAACTAAAGAGTCAACAAGCACCGACTGGTTACTGCAAAGGACTTAAAGTGGACAATTTTTCATTTTCTCTCCCTGATGCCTCTCCGCATCTAAGGACTCTCTTTAACAAGTTGTGGGAAGAAAAGAAGTCAAATTCCTAAACATTTATAGAAAGTTACAGGGCCAGTGCTGCGGCATAGCTGGTAGAGCCACCACCTGCAGTGGCGGCTTCCCATATGGGCACTGGTTCATGTCTCGGCTGCTTCACTTCTGATCCAGCTCTCTGCTGTGGCCTGGGAAAGTAGCAGAAGATGGCCCAAGTCCTTGGGCCTCTGCACCCACATGGGAGACCTGGAAGAAGCTCCTGGCTGCTGCAGTCATTTCGGGAGTGAACCACCGGATAGAAGACCCCCTCCCCGCCTCTCTGCTTCTGCCTCTGTGTAACTCTGCCTTTCAAATAAATAAATATTTTTTAAAAACAGAAAGCAACTTAATAAGGTAACTGCGCAGAAAGGATTATCAGTCTCTTCAAAAACAATGCAGACTAAATTACAACTAATTAATAGGGGCAGGCATAAGCCACCACTTGGGACTCTGCATGCCGTTTCAGAGTGGCTGGTTCCAGTCCTGGCTCCTCTGCTTCCCATTCAGCTTCCTGCAGATGCACCCCCTGGGAGGCAGCAGTTGATGGCTCAAGTACTTGGGCCCCTGCCACCCATTTGGGAG